CTACTACTACTACTAACTACTACTACTACTACTACTACTACACTAACACTACTCCTAACTACTACGACTACTACTACTACTACTACTACTACTACTACTACTACTACTACTACAACTACTACTACTACTACTACTACTACAACTACTACTACTACTACTACTACTACTACTACTACTACTACTACTACTACTACTACTACTACTACTACTACTACTACTACGACGACTACGGCTGCTACTAATTCTACTAGGCACCAGTACGACTACTACAAGTACTACTACGATCACTACTACTACTACTACTACTACTACTACTACTACCACTACTGCTACTAGTAGTAGTACTACTACGACTACTACTACTACTACTACTACTACTGCTACTGCTATTACTACTTCTACGACTACATATACTTATACTACTACGCTTACTACTACTGCTGCTACTTACCACCCATACAATGACTACTCCTACTAATACGGATACTACTCCTACTACTACTATTCCTGCCGCAACTAACACTACTACTGCTACTACTGCTACGCACTACTACTACTACTACTACTACTACTACTACTACTACTACTACTACTACTACTACTACTACTACTACTACTACTACTACTACTACTACTAGGGTCACACCTGACTTATGGCCGGAGAGGTTTGGGAGTGTGTTTGGGTTTGGGTTTGCGTTTGGGTTTGGCTTTGGGTTTGGGTTGCTTTGTGGATTAGTTTTGTATTGGAAACCAATTGTTTTAATTAGTTTTCTATTGGGCACCACTTGTTTTTTATTAGCTCTCATTGGAAACCAATTGTTTTTATTGGTCTCGTTGGAAGCCAATTGTTTCTATTGGTTTCTATTGGAAACCAATTGTTTTTATTAGCTGTCATTGGAAACCATTTGTTTGTATTAGTTTCTATTGGAAACCAATTTTTTTATTAGCTGCTATTGGAAACCAGTTATTTCTATTAGTTTTCATTGGAAACAAATTGTTCTTAAAAGTTGCTATTGGAGGGCAATTGTTTTCATTAGTTTTCATTGGAAACCAATTATTTATATTAGTTGTCATTGGAAACCAATTGTTTTTATTCGTTGCTATTGGAACCCCATTGTTTTTATTAGTTTCTATTGGGGACCAATTATTTTTTATCAGTTTTTATTGAGAACAAATTGTTTTTATTAGTTCGTATTGGGAACCAATTGGTTTTATTAGTTTTCTATTGGAAACCAATTGTTTTTACTAGTTTGCTATTGGAAACCAATTGTTTTTTTTTATTGGTTGCCTATTGGAAGCAAACTGTTTGTTATTAGTTTTCTATTGGGAACCAATTGTTTTTCTTAGCTCTCTACTGGCAACCAATTGTTTGTATTAGCTTTCTACTGGGAACCATTTTTTTTTAAAAAAAAAAAAAAAAAAAAAAAAAAAAAAAAAAAAAAAAAAAAAAAAAAAAAAAAAAAAAAAAAAAAAAAAAAAAAAAAAAAAAAAAAAAAAAAAAAAAAAAAAAAAAAAAAAAAAAACGATTGCAAACCAATTGTTACTTTATTAGTTCTCTACTGGAAACCAATTGTTTTTTATTAGTTGTCGATTGGAAACCAATTGTTCTTATACACCGAGACGACCTCAGGGAACCCCGAGACTTCCTTAAGATTCCGATGAATTCCTTATGTTTCCTGAAGGCTTCCGTGGGATTCCGCAAGGATTCTCAAGGATTCCGGAAGATGTCTGTCCTTCAGATTCCTTCAGGATTCCCCAGGATTCCTTCGGATTCCTGGAAGCTTCCTGGACAAATCCTTAGGTTTCCTGCCGGCTTCCTTGGGATTCCTGAAGAATTCCTTAGGTTTCCAAAAGATTTCTTTGGGATTCCTGGAGAATCCCTCAGGACTCCTCGGGAATCTTCGAGAATTCCTGAGGATTCCCGAAGAATTCCTTAGGATTCCAAAGGAATTCCTGAGGTTTCCTTGAGAATTCCTGAGGATTCTTCGAGAACTTCTTAAGACTCCTCACAGCGTGCAGGCCATAAGTCAAGTGTGAAGGATGCGTAGTTTCTACTGGGTTTTCGTATACCTGTATTACACCTGTGTAGAAACCCAACCAAACTACCGGCCGCAAACACGCCGGCCATGGACGACGGGTGACCCTACTACTACTACTACTACTACTACTACTACTACTACTACTACTACTACTATTACTACTACTACTACTACTACTACTACTACGACTACTACTACTACTACTACTACTACTACTACTACTACTACTACTACTACTACTACTACGACCACGACTACTACTACTACTATTACTACTACGGCTGCTACTGCTACTACTTTAAAAACTACGACTACGATCACGACGACGACGGCTACTACTACGACTACTACTACTACTACTTCTACTACTACTACTACGACGACGACTACTACGACTACGACTACGATTAACACTACTACGACCACTACTACTACTACTACTACTACTACTACTGCTACTA